TTTCGAAGCGTATTCAGGATAGCGCATGAATTGGCTGGAGGGGTTGGGGACAAAGTACTTGGGGGAAGGTCACTACCTTAACTCCACCAAAAACCGAGAAGGGTCCATTTTGCCGATCCACTGCCATCAGTATTTTGAAGTGACTGGGGGCCAAGCAGGGTAAGTTGAACCACAGTTCCGAGATCGTCGATTGCTTGTGGATGAATCGCTCTTATTATCACATTCTCTACAAACCCTGTTTTTGTTTTCTGCGCTCGGTCCTTTTAACCACTCATTCTAGCTTCAAGTTCTTTTAGGTGGGAATGAAGGCTCTCATTCTCGTGGGTGGGTATGGTACACGACTGCGTCCGCTTACATTGACGCAACCGAAGCCGCTGGTTGAGTTTGCGAACAAACCCATGATGCTCCATCAGATAGAAGCACTCGCAACTGTAGGAGTGACGAGTGTGGTTTTGGCAGTCAGGTAATTTTTGGTATGTTTCGACGCACTTGTGCACTACCTCTTTGCATGTGGGAGCGGTCACCAAAGCTCGTCCTGCGTCACTGTATGGGTGATATTTTTCTACCAATTCGTTCAGCTATCGTGCAGAGCAACTAGAACAGGAAATGAAGGTTCATGCCGAGAGGTTGGGGATCCAAGTCCACTTCTCCTTGGAAGAAGAGCCACTGGGAACTGCGGGACCGTTAGCTTTAGCGAGGTTTGAATATTTAAGATTCGCTTATGCCAGCATATTTAAATTTCATCTCTCACTAGGCAATATCTAGATGGCGATGAACCTTTTTTCGTCCTCAATTCTGATGTTATCTGCGAATTTCCTTTTCAAGAAATGATTGATTTTCATCTATCCCATGGATCGGAAGGAACAATAGCTGTAACACAGGTTTGCTCTATGACTATCACTAATGCTCTTATACGTGTTATGCACTAATACCCCTTTTTAGGTAGAAGAGCCATCAAAGTACGGTGTGGTTGTATTCGACGAGCGCAGTGGGATGATTGCGGAATTCGTGGAGAAGCCGCAGGAATATGTGGGCAACAAGATTAATGCCGGGCTTTATATCTTCAATCCATCTATCCTGGATAGGATACCACTGCGCCCCACGAGTATCGAAAAAGAGGTAAAGCATTCATTTTTTTCATTTTTTGGAATTTTCACTGCTCTATGTTCGTTGTTAAATGCAATCTATCAAGGTATTCCCCAAAATGGCAGAATGTAACAATCTGTATGCTTTTGTGCTTTCTGGTTTCTGGATGGATGTGGGGCAGCCAAAAGACTTCTTAAAAGGTAAAGTCATCAAATATTTTACGAAGATATATACAACTCTTATTAGGGATATCGCTTTTCCTTGAACATAAAAGAAGAACAGATCCTTCATTCCTTTCCAAAGGTGACTCAATTCATGGAAATGTTCTTATCGACAGCACTGCTAGTATTGGAAACAATTGCCGCATAGGACCTAATGTGGTGAGCTCACTTTCGGTATTTTTTGTTTTGTTTATCTGTCTAAATCACACGAGTGCAAGCGCTCATTGCGACATGCCTATGTTTACACTGCTTCCCGATTGTTTTGATTAAGCTGCTTTAGAGGTCATCGCTTGCACGCATAATATAGTGATTATTTTCCAAAGTTTCCCTATTTTTCACTGTCACATCTTAACTGTCTGTTTTTTGAAGATTTGATGAGCGCAGTACTCAGCTGGGCAGCGAATAGCACATTTAGCGTTTTGAAACGTTCTGGAAGTACTTTAGAA